GTTTTCTTCTCTCTCTCTCTCTCTCTCGTTTTTTTTTCTTTGATGTGTTGTTGTTTTTGATGTGTTTTGGTTTTATGTGGACATTTGCGTCTTCCCTTTGCTGGCTGCATCGTGGCGGGTCACCTGCGTCTGTGCATAAGCACGGGCTGTGCGTCCATCTGCGCTGCCACGTGGTGTTTCGGTTTTTTTGTGCGACGACTAGGGATAGGGATGTTCTCCATTTTAAGCCGGTCACCCCCTCCTCCCCCATCCTTCACCCCCCCCCCCCCCCCCCAACTTAAGACGTGTGCTCATATATATATATTTGTTTTTTGAGTTTGGTGAGTGTCATTTGCGCTTTGCAGTTTTTTTTTGGTTCCACCCACGCATCCCGCGAAGGATGTTATTTGTGTGAATTGTACTGTTTTTCTCCTTGAGGCTTCTTCTGCTGTTGTTGGCAATGTCTGCATCTGACTCATCTCTGGCGTTGTGTTGTTCCCATATGCCGCCTGCCACACAATCATAACAATAACCACAACACTGTAGCCCTCAAAGTGCAAACTCCTGCAAGGGAAGGTGTGGAGTTGGCGGGACATGGTGAAATGACCGCTGCTGACGTGGTTATCCCTTTGCAAGAGGAATGCGCCGACAGCAGCCGCACTGATACGAGGCCGCACTACCGGTTTTTTTTTCTGAACAGCATTCTCTGCCGCACCGAGACCGCCGACGCTAGTTTCCGACCCTCCGACGTCTTCGTTGGGCGGGATCCCCCACCACGAGGCACGGCGACGCTCGGCGATGCCTCACGAATCGTTGACGACGCGACCGCACCCACTTTTTCCGCCGATGTGGATAGAGACTGTCCCATTTTCAACACCTTCGGTGTTTTATCGGGAGGTGTTCTTATTGACCCCAACACCCGATGCTTTGTGGACTTTGTGGACGACGCCGTGGTGGCCCCAGCCATGTCGCAGGCGACAGACGACGACAATGTGGCCCACTACGAGTCACTTGCGTACGCCAAAATCCGCGCTGAGGGTGCCATGTGTTTATGTTCCTCAATTGAGCCGTTGAATGCGCCCGGGACACGCGATACACCACTCTCCTGGCCACGTTCACTTCGGCTTGCGCAACCCGTCGACGCACGGGTTTTGGCGCTGCGTAACGTATACCGTGTGCTGCGACGCTGTGTGGCGGGGGCGCCGGTGGATCGCGAGACGCTAACATTTTTAGAGGTGTACCGCTGCCATCTAAAGAGCAAACGCCCGACAGCGCGGTTTATGACGGAAAACATCCCCTTTCGTTTTCAGCACGGTGGCAGGGCAGTTCTTCTTCAGCACCACAACGATGGCGATGATGATGGTGGTGAGGAGGAGGGGGAGCGGGAGTGCGAGGAGGTAGAGGCAAACGATAAGACGAGGAAGAGTGGCAATGGCGGCGGTGGCAGCGGTAGTCGTCGTAGTAGTAGTGAGGGGCGCCCCATTCCCACCGGTGGGTCGCCCTTCTCGGAGTTTCACACCTTCACGGGGCTTCCCAAGATGGCCTCCGTCAAACACGAGGAAAAGGTCGTGACCACGCCCGGACACGAGTACGCCATGCGCCTGGAAATGCGACTGCAGCGGCTGGTGCGACCGCAGCGCGACAACCTCTCGATTGGAAAACGCCCCCGGTGTCACCCCGAGGCGACGGAGTTTCAAACGCTTTGGTGGACGTTCCTTCGCTACGTTCCACTTATCCGCGTGTGCCCCTCCCCCGCACCCAACGCGGAGGGTCGCACGGAGTGGTACCTCGCCGACGACAGCGACGTAAAGTACAGGAATGAAGTGCTGGAGTTTGAGGCTGCACGGGCTGGCGGTGGCGGTCCACGGTGGAGCATCACTGCAATCGCCGATGCATGGGACTGGCTGCTCCGGCACGATCGCGAACGCCTGCTGCGACGCCTTGCGAGGCTTAAACGCTGCGTTGAAAAACTCCAGTTGTAACTTTTGACGAAATGCGCGCCACCACATACCACGTACGTGCGTCACTGAGGAACAATGGCATGGGCGAGGCGGAGGAAAAAGATGGCTCTGATAAGAAATAATATTTAAAACAAAAAAGGATGACATTATTAAACGAAACGATAGTTTTTCTTCTTGCTGTGGTTTAGCGTCTCTCTGCATATCAGCATCGCAGCAGTGTTGCTACAAATTGTGTGTGGCGTGTGGCATGGAGATAAAGTCGGGAAACGTAAATGGGGTGCAGAAAGACAGTTGGACTCGTGCGTGTGTGCTTTCCGCGTGGTTGTAGTTTTTGTCACTTGTGTGGGAAGTCTCTCTGCTACTTGCGTGTTGGTGGAGGTGGTGGATAGCCTGTGCCGTGCTTCCTCCTGCCTTCAAGTCCCGATGAAGTTTTTTTTTTTTCCCCCTTTCCACCCGTCGCCATATGGTTTGTGTGAAGCATACAGGAGACATAGCCTTACTTTTCTTCGTTTGCTTGTTTTTGACGGCGGTACAGCATCCGCAAGAAGAATCGTTTTTTTTTTTCTTCTTTGATTGTTTATTTAAGGAGGACGTGGCTGACGGAGTAGGTGTCTGTGTGCGCGCGCGTGTGATGTTGCAGCGGTGCTGGCTGCCACGCTGTCCTGTGCAGTACACCGCTCTTTCTGCTGCTGCTGGGCAGCTGAATGGGTTATTGGACCTTCGAGCAACAAAGCAACCCGTCCCAAGTGACGTTCTTAAGCAGTTTTTGCGAACAGACGTCATGCCGCTGCTGCGTGGGACCACTGTAGATCGACGCCATGACAGCTCCGAACTGCGTCGCCTTATGAGTCAGCTGCTCCGTGACTCTGCCTTTGCCGCCGTTGTGCTGCGTGCCCGTCCTGATGGCACCTACGTCAACGCCCTTGCGGAGTGCGTTAAGCACGACCACGAGCGCATGCAGTTCCTTCAAAAGATGACCTCCAATCAGGCTAGTCGGGTGATTGAGCACCTCTGCCGCGTTGGGGTGCGAGACTCCACCGTATATGCCCCGCTAGCGGCTCGCCTAGACTTTCATCTCCTTAAACCAGTGGGGAGGGCCATGTTTGCCTTGGCGGAGGAGGGAATGTACCAGGAGGTGGTCGCATACATCGTGCCTCTGTACTGCGGAGAGACATGGACGCTAACCTTCGACGGTGGGGTGGGGTACATAAACCAGTTGAACAAAAACTGTAATGTCTTTGATGCTGTGCGTCTCCTGCGTGTGCTCTCCAAGGCGGTTCGAGGTGTGGTAGAGCAGCAGCGGTTGGATGCGGCAAAGGGGGCGGTTTACCCGCTTCCAGTAGAAAGCATTCAGAAGCTGAGAACAAATCTAACGGCGTTTATTATTGATAACAGTGAGGTTCTTCGTGGAGGGCACTGGATTAACTTTACGCGCGCCATGGTGCATTTCCCACTGGAGTTCAAGACAATGAAGTACCTAGAGCGGCATCCCTCCGTGGTGCGGGTTCTGGATGCGCAGCGTCTGCCCCGCCGCGATGCCCGCCGCGGTCTTTCTGACACCGTTGACACCGATGACATGGCGGCACTTGGGTTAAATTGTGTCTTTGCCCCTGTTGAACAACCGCAGCAACATCCACAACAGCACATGGCGGGTGGGGATGAAACGAGGAAAAAGCCTTGCTTTGACGTCCCCTCTATTGATCTCACCAAGCTCCTTTCCATCATTGAGGATGTGCCAATTCCTAGGGCCCTTCAACAGCGCCGTCGTCAACTTGTTATCCGGGCAATTGTGGATGACATGAATAAGCTCCATTTTACCGATCTTGTGCGGTTTATTCATGCACTTCGTCGAGTGGAGGGTTCCACCGAATTTTCGTCGTCGTTGAATGCTGCAGTTGCAGCCGTTAGTCAAGTTCTGGAGCAGGGTCAAAAAAACGCCGCAGTATACATTCCGTATGATCGTCTTTTGAGCCTGGCTAACCTGCTTACGGCGTTCCGTGTAAAGAGTTGTAAGGGTTTTGTGAATTACCTTCTTTGCTTCCTCCCCACAGTGAACTTCATGACCGTGGGGGAGGCTACCTCGTTGATGAACGCGCTGGTCACCGTTGCAGAAGTGGACGGCGTGCAATTGTGTTCTTGCGTTGGGGGACAAATCTTGGATAAGGTGGGGCTCAGCCTTGAGGACGATCTCCCCGCCTTGGTGTTAGCGTACCCATTGCCGTGTGCGAAGCTACTACGTACCACGGTGATGTTAAGTGTGGCACCATCCTCTAGTGCCTTGCGACGCATATTTGGCAGCACGGAAGAGGCGTTGAAAGTGTCGCCTGCACTTCGAGAGGTGGGTGCCTCCGTCCTGTTTGACGTGGCCCGATCCTTGTACCATTTTTCGCGACTGAAGCCAGCCGACACCGACTGGACGGAAACCGTGTGGTGTAGAGGCATTGTGGGTGCTCTGATGCCCTTATTGACGCAATTCACCTCTGAATTTTATCAGGAGGTCCTTGCCGGCGAGGCTGGTGGACGATGGTCCACCTCCTACGTTCCCCTCGCGTGGCGCAGCGCAGCGGAGACTGTGTTTTCGTGGGTGGATGTGAATCTGGACACTGTCTCCCTGACCACGATGCAGCAGCGCATCGAAGCTGTCTACCCGTTTTGTCGCCAAATCGCAACGATGGCTGTGGGCGTTGCAGAGACGCAGCGGCAGATGCTTTTGAAGCACCCCACGGCCGAGCCGCTTGCCTTCTCGTGCAATGCCATTGTTCACATGTTGTCCTTCCTGCTTGTTCTTGAGCACATGCTGTACCATGGGACCTGGCAGGCGGAGCTTGACAGCGGCGGCTGCGCCGCTGCGAGAGTAAAGAAGAAGATTCAGGCAATGAAGGCGGATTACGTCACGAGTCTCTCGACTCCGGTGTGTAAGGACGAACAGGGAGGCGATGTGACTGCGCTTGTGCTCATTCGTCGTTTATTCTCGTGCGGGGGATTATGTGACCAATCACCTCCCCTCTTGGACCGCAGCAGCATCCTTGAGATCACTACAAACCTTCCCTTTTCCGTCTCACTCGTGGTGAGTCAAGGGCCGATCAATGAACTGTTCTGCGAGCAGGCCGCTGCGGCTGTAGTTGGCGTCGATGCTTGAAAGGAAGGTATAGCTCGCAAGAAGAAAAAAAGGTGAAGAAAAGGAAACAGAAGGCGTAAAAAGAAAAAGAGTGGTGGAGGGGCGGCCTGCTGTGCGGGGAGGGGAGGGGGGGGGGGGGGGGCGATGATGAAGTGGTGCGTGTACCCACGCTGTTTCTTTTCCGACCGAGTGGAGTGGTGGGGATATATTGAAGGTATCGGTAAGATTTTCTGCTGGAGTTGGTTGTTTGAAGAAAATCGGAAAGCGAGAGGGAACGAGAATCCCAAAAGCACACACACACACACACAAGTAAAAAAAAAAAAAGAAATAAAAAGAGAGACGGCGTGCGGCAGCGGGCCCATTCAATGTATTTACACGTCTGTGTGTCTGTGGGTGCGTTTGTCTATTCCACTTTTTTTTTGTTTACTTTGTTGGTGTCTGTGTGAGTGGGTGTGGCTCCACACTGGATCCGCTGCTCTTTCCGCAGTCGCAAGGGCTGCAGGTAATTAGAAGGGCCGCAGCCCGTAGTTCGTGGCGTTCTACTGTTGATGTAGGTTGCCCGCAGTGTTGCTGCTGAGTGATTCCCGTCGCATAAAGTGGTGCAGGTGGGGAGGAGGATCATGTCGTGCCAGGCATTCTCTGAACAGCGGGCGTCGAGTGCCGATCGTGTCAGTCGTCTCTCGCAGCGGTTGCGTTCCGGCGCCATTGCGATGTCGCGCTCGGCCATCACACAAACAGATTTGCTGGTTGACAGAATCGTCGACGTTGGCGAGGGGGGGGCGGCAAACTTCTTTGAGCAGCTTTTGGCTCGGCTCGAGCAGCACGGCGTTCGGCGGTGCCGCGAGGGCGACGAGGCTGCAACGAACCTTGACAGCGGTAACTCACCTCATGAGACGCCAGCGGTGGGGCACCGCTCTGTGGATGCGTCGTTGCAGTTAGCGGCGGCGGTTGCACACGGGGCGGAGGATGCCCGTGCGCCGTACTACTATATGTGTGTCCCTTGTGAAGTGCGGCTGACGGCAACCGCGACGACCGCCGCAACCCTCGCAATGCTTGAGGACGCCCACCACCACTGCTCCTCCGCGGAGCATCGGAGGATTGCGTCTTGGATGGGCGAGCCTGACATTGACTGTACGCTGCAAAACGCACTGGAGATGGACCCCACGGGGTATGCTCGGATCCACGTCAACGGGGTTCCCATGCTGCTTTCTCGGCGCCCTGGGGGAGGGGATATGTTCTTCCCCCTTCCGCACGAGGTGCAGGATCACGAGCGCACGGCACCTGCAGGCATGGATGGGCGCTTGTTCGCCACTCAACCACAAACCGAGGTCTGGCACCATCCGCTGCGGTCCGTCTACACTGGAGCCAGGCAGCTGTTGTACAGAGACGATGATTTTCGACCAAGGCGCAAAAACAAGGGAAAACAACACCAACGGCTTCGTTGCCATTTCAATGTGCACCATATCCCTATGGATAGCTATGAAGCAGAGAGTTTTCTGGGAGGCCCAACGGTGCCGGCCATTTTTGAGGTCACGCGGCAACGTTTGCCAAAGGTCAGTAAAGAGGGTGGCGTGGAAGACGGCGGGTACCGCAGCGAGTATGTCGTCTCGGATAAACCTTGCATGGTGTGGAGCGATTCCATGCAAACCGAATTGAGCTCACTGGTTGTGAGGCATGATGGCATGTATCGCATCGCGCTCCTACGTGCAAGTGAAGCGACGAGATGGCTGTCTGAGGCGCCTCCGACAGATGGTTCAAGTCAGGGTCACGACGCAGGCGGTGAAAGTCATAGCCAGGTGCTCACCGTTGAGGCACTGAGTCAGGTTTGTGCCGCACCAACGTTTAACCGTGTCTTTAAGGACTTGAATACGTCGGGTGTGGGTTCAAGTGATGCGTTTACGCGCTCAGACGTTTCCTCGGAGGCGAGCAGTTGATGGTGCATACGTATGTAAAAACAAACATGTCCTTTTTTCTTTGTTGTTGTTGTGTCGCCTCTGCGTCTTCTCCAGGTTGTTTGTAGAATCGAGTGCTGGAAGGCAGCAAGGGGAACAGGTAAAACAAGGACATGTGGTGAACGTATAACTGGACAGGGTAGAAGCGCGAGTGTGTGGTGGAAGCTAAAAAATAAAAATAAACCTATGAGTGGGAGAGGCATTATTGGAAGACGCTTTCCAAGGTTTATTGCCCTGGGGGTGATGTGTGTGTTATTTCTCTATCCCACTCGCTTTCGCGCTTGTTTGTGTTTCGCCTGCTTTCGCCTTGTAAGGAGGTCCGTAGAATTCCTCAATTTAAGACGGCAATGGAAGATAAATCGTTCGTTGACTGCAACATGCGGCTGGTGACCATTCCGTTTGGTATCAACGGTCTAGAGTGTTACGGTGGCGAAGTCGGTATGACCCGGCCGCACCTAATTAGCCCGCTGTCGATGCCGGGAGCGGTTAGGGCCGGGGCACGTGGGGTGCAGGAATTGAGCCTCAGGGGAAGCCAGGAGATCTGCAAGGCGGAGAAATCGCTGGTTATGATTTCGCTGCACAACCGGGGGCGGCTGCTCGTCTGGGACGCCGACGCGCTGGAGGTGGTGGCGATGTGCAACCACAACGGCTGCTCCGTCGTGCAGTGTGTCGTCACGGCAACGTACTTATATGTACGGGTGGAAAATGGACGCGATCACACCGACGCAGACACGCAGGTGTACGTTTGGGACGCCAAGGCGTTTACGCTTGTGCGCCGGCTCTCCTCCCACGAGGCGCGTGTGACTTCCATTGCGGTGAGTGATGAAAACGACTTACGGCTTGCGACGGCCAGTTTGGATAACTCCGTGCATATCTGGGACCTGCAAAAAAGTGTTACGGGACCACTAAAACGGATCGCGCTCAATGGCACCGGTCTGGTCTCGCTCTACTCGCATGGATTGATCTTGGGTAGCTCCTCCAACAACACAATGATGGTGTGGAACGCAGAAACAGGGGCAGAGTTGAAGAGGCACAAGGAGGCTGAAGCCACTGTCACCGTGGTACGTTGGCGACATGCGCCCAGTCGCATCATACAGAGTGGCGCATCCAAATACGAAAACTTTTCCTCGCTGTTAATTGGATATAGCAACGGTTTTATTAAGGAATGGACCTTCGATGCAAACGCAACGGTGCTCATGACACCCAAGTGGGGCAACAAAGTGCACAAGGCCCACGTCACGGACCTCTGCAGTGACGATGATGCTGTACTAAGCTGCAGCACATTTGATGGTGCATTCTTGCTGCTGCAGTCGCAGGGCCACGTGGCCCCATTGGTGTCCTACGGAGTTCGCATCGTGGTACTTGATTCATACGCCAAAAATGCAGTAGTTGGGGTCGATAATGGCTCCATTAAAATTTTCCACTATCGTGACTTTTTGGAGGGACACGGTCAACCGTATCTTCTCTCCTCCTTTTGTCCACATTCAAGCGGCATCACGGGCCTGTTTCTGCAGCTACGCGATAATTTTACCTGGGATCGCATCATCTGTGCTGGCGCTGACGGGACCGTGGTATTTCTGGACTACACACGCGCCCGCGGTTCTCGCTTGATGCGGGGATTGAATGCGAGTTCGGTGGATGCCATTCCGGGGGGCGAGGCGATTCTTGCACCATTGGGGACAGGTGGAGGCATCCGCCTCTTCAACCCCGTCGACCTTATCCCTGTCCCGCAGGAACACGAGTTGAAAACATCGCACGTAGTCACGGCGCTGCGGTGGGTGGCGTCTACTTTTAAAGTTTTGGTGGGCTGTGAAAACGGGAGCATGATGTTATTTGAATGCGTCATGGGTGAGCCGTGTTCTCCGTCATTTCACATGTTAGAGGAGAGAAACGTTTCACCCTACTTCCCACGATGCTTTTTCTGCAGTCAGCCGGATGGCCGCCTGGCTGTGGCAAATTTGCAGCGGGATCAATTTGCAGGGAAGGGGGCATTTTTGGTTTTGGATCCAATAGCGGCGGATTTATCCTACCCGATTCATCCACTGACGCCAATGTTTCCCCTCCGCAGCAGCATTTTCACCTTCACTTCTTCGGAAATATATGATTACACTGTGGTTGTGCAGTTGCGGGATGGCATGATGATGCAGTACGTGGGAGATTCCATTAGAAAAACGTTGCCTGTCCTTCTGCGTACGCTGGTGAGTTCGCTATTGAGTAACGTGTTTCAGAAGGAGTCCACAGGTTTTTTGATCTTTCCCAGCAATTACATCTTGAAGTGCATGCCCACTGGGGGTGGGAAATTGAACTTTGTGCTCACGTACGCGGAGGGCACTGTGCTTCACCAGATGGCGTTTGGTGTCGAACACGATTGCCCGGTGAACCGCTACGTGTTCTGCAAAAGTGAGGAGTTCGATTTTTCAGGGTCCCTGTCCTCCGATGGAGACGATGTGCTGACGCTGGAGGCTATTGGACAGGGTGAGATGGCAATGGCGATACTGCGCGACAATCCTGTGGTTGATATTATTGATAATGGTGGAAAATACATTTACCGTATCCTCAACACTGGGTGTGTGTGGAAATGTCAAGCATCCCCTCGTCGGAGGCGCTCACGCGGCTTTTGCATTGGCTCCTCCACCTCGAACACCAATGTTTCGTATGCCCCGACTTCCTCTCCGTACGCCTGCACAGCCAGCTTTTGCGCCGAGGCGCACTACCTCGCTATTGGCTACCGAGATGGATTGGTGCAGTTGTTTGATACCACGCAGCAGACAATATTTGCACGGTTTAAGGTGCATACTTCAATGGTGGACTGTTTGTGGTCGTTTCCCAGTGTTGTGGTATCGTCCTCGGTGGAAAACGTGTTGCACGCCGGCAGGGTACTTCCACGTGTGATTTTTGACGACTGCAGCAGCAGCTGTTGGTCGCCCTCAGAGGGTTCCTTGTTGTTGCAGCGAACATCCACCAGTGTTTCTGCAGTGGAGCAGTAGTGGGAGGCTCTACGACAGTCTCTCTCTCTCTCTCTCTGTGTGTGTGTGTGTGTGTGTGTTTGGGGGAAGGAATCCGTCTGGGGGAGGACACCGCACCGTTATCTTTTTTATATTTGTGGTGCTGTCACCAGAAGGGTGCTAGCACCTCCCCTAGTGAAGGAAATAAAAAGCCATAGTCGTAATGACGAGTGTGGATTAGAAGTCTAGAAGTGTAGGAAGAACTACGGCTACCTTTTTTTTTTTGTTTTTATTCTTGTTTTTGTTGTTGTTTTTTTTTTGTGCGTGTGATCATGTGTTTTCTGCGCTTTTGACAGTGTGAATTTCTTCCCCCGCAAGCAAGAGAGGGGAGGGTGCGGAGCAGGTGAACGGTATGGGGGCTGCGTCATGTCATGTGGGTGTCTGTGCAAGCGCAGTGTTGTTTTCATATCCGCTGCGCTTCTTCTTAAACTGCATGCCGTGCGGGAAACAGAGAACCGAGTGTCGCTGGCAGACGACGAAGGTGTGGCTGTCGACAGCGGATAAAAATAGCCGGAAGGAAGGAAGCAAGGAAAGGGGGGTAGACGTAAGGAAAATCCGAGTGCGGAGGAAGGTGCTGCTGAAAGTAATTGAGGAAAAAAAAGGGGCGTGGTGCAGCTGCACACACACACACATACAGAGAGAGAAAGAGAAAGCGCCAGTGAGTGAGAGTCCGGCGGAATGGCGTACACGCAGTCCCAGAGCATGAAGAAGGAGTTTGCGCTTCCAATGGTGCCTGGCATGACATGTGGAGAGGAGATGCTGCGACGGAATTACCATCGCGTGCAAATTCACGGGGAGAAGTATGATACGATCACCTCCACCAAAAGCGTGCCCATTGATATGACTAGAAGCAATATGGAGAAAATGTCCACTGCCTTCACGGCTGGCGATGGCACACTTGCCAACGCCACGGAGTCCGGGCGGTGGGATGCCAGCCGCCGGAAGAGCAACAAGACGGACCTCAGTGGACGGGTGCTGCGCTTTTACGGTTACACGAAGGAGCAGGTACCGGAGAGTGCTGTAGAGCGGGAACGTGTGCGCAAGGTTGTGCTCAACGTTTTCTTGGAGGACAACACCATGAGTGTGACAGAGCAGAGCCCGGATAACTCGGGGTTTGCCTTCCCCCTGGCGCTTAAGCGTCACATTGTCCCCATGCACGATGGCACACCCATCACCTTTGCCCATTTCCGCGTGGGGGACACAATCACGTTCTACGGTCGCACGTACAGGTTGTACGACGCTGACAAATTTACCCGCGATTTCTTCAAGGAGGGAGGCGTGGAGCTCGAACCCGCGCAGGAGGTGCCAATTGACGCCTTTACTCTACAGCGTAATCGCCCCATAGCGAAGGCGCACGACGTGCGCTCCGTGGCGGCAGACAGCCCGTTAAACATTACCCTGTTGCCGGAGCAGGTGCGGGCGGCGCAGCAGTTTCTGGAGCACGACGGCGAAGTGTTACGCTGTGACTGCATCTGGGATGACACAGAGGCACTCCACGGCGTAAAGCACTTTTTTACCCTTTACTACTTTCTTGCGGATGGCAGCATCGCCGTGGTGGAGAAGGACTTCCCCAACAGTGGCCGAGACCCGTTTCCGCGGTACTTCCGTCGGCAGCGTGTGGCAAAGCCAACGGGGGATGGCAAGTTTGACCCGCAGACGTTGGGATCCAACGCGTTCAGAGAGGTCAAAAAATCGGTGTACTATACCGATGATGATATTCGCATCGGAAATGTCCTGCACCTCTACGGCCGTCCTGTGCTTATTTGCGGCTACGACGAGTTCACACGGAACCACCTGCGCAAGAAATTTGGCGTCACCGCGTACGAGCCGATACCGGGAGGGAAGAAGCCACCGACGGTTCCCGTTGGCTGTCAGAGGCGTGAGAAGACGGCTCAGGAGTTGGAGGAGATGCAGGAACGCAAGCGTACAGAAAGCCGCCTGCGCAAATTTGCCGATGGCGTGGTAAAATTTCTTATGCGCCTTGACAATGCCAAGTACGACGACGAAATTCGTCGGTTTGTCTTGGCCGTATATCCGGCCGATAACACCATCTCCATTTTTGAGCCTGTGCAGCGGAACAGCGGCATTGTGGGGGGAAGATTTCTCCAGCGTCAATGCTGTAGGCGCCCTGATGGGGAGTTTTACAAGGCACACGACTTTTTTGTTGGGGCCCACGTAAACATCAACGGTTTTCCGTTTGTTGTGCTTGCCTCAGATGAACGGTCGCTGAACTATATGGAGACAAACTCACAGGAGTTCAATCGCTCGGACATTAACCGCATCGTGCGAAAGCTTCGTGCGATGCTTACAAGCAAGCAAACCGGTCTTGTTGAGGCCTTCCGCGAGGCAGACGAAGTGAACAAAGGCGGACTTCAGATGGAAGTATTCCTGGAGATTATGCGAAGGCTTCAATTGGACATCTCCGAGCAGGAGATTCTGAGCATTCTGCGCTACTTTGACAAGCACGATGAGTCGTATGTCTCCTATGAAGAGTTCGTGGCACGTGTGATGCCGGATGGGGGCGTTGTTGCCTCTGATGACCGCCCGTGGGAAGTGATTGACAAGGAGAGCGCCGAAAAGGAGTCAGTCGCATTTGTGATGGACCCAAGAATTGACGAGCAAAAGCGTACACGGGCTGAGGAGACCGCTTTGGCAGCGCGTGGGGCGGCAGAGTTGCTAGTGCTCTACGATCAGCGCAGGCAGCTTGTGCTGAAGGAATTTCGCGCCGTGGCGGATTACTCCACGGAAAGCATCATTGGACCAAACGAGTTTAAGATGTGTGTGCGGAAGAAGCTGCAGATGAGGAGTATGTCCGACGCTGAGCTTAACGCGCTTTGCGCAAAACTGTTTCCAAAGGACCTGCCGCGGCTCAGCCTGGAGGAGCTAATTCGCTTGTTTAACGGCACGTCCTCTCTGCCGCGAAACCTGTGCGAGATAAAGCAGGGTGTCTCCCGCTAGACTCGCCGTGCGGCTGAAGTGAGACCTGAATGGGGGATAAGAGGCAGAGTAGGAAGTGCTCGGTGTCCGGGAAGGCTGACACGGACGAGGAGGAACAGACGAGCGGGAGGAATAAGAACAAGCGTCCGTCGCACCGCACAACCTTTTATTTATTTACTTTTGTGATTGCCTTGGGCGCCACCTGCTTTGCTCCTGTTTGTTTGTTTGTTTGTTTGTGTGTGTGGGGGGGGGGGGGAGAGAAGGGGGTGTCTCTGCCACGCGGGCGGCGTCTCTCTGAGCATTTCTTCGTCACTGTGCGTTTTCTTTTCCCGTTCATTTACCCTCCGCATTGCGCCTCTCTTCGGCCGCAACGCGCATGTATAGAATGTGGCGCTTAGATGCGCCAGGGTGGTGCAACAACAGCCACATAAAAGAGGTATGGAAACAAGGAAGAGATGCTCTTTCCATCCCCCTGGCCGCTGCCTCTGTGTCAGTGGGTGGGTGGGTATGTGTGTTCATGTCCCTCCTCCTCTTTCTTGGATGTCCAGTAGAAAGCGGGGCAAAGTTATTATATCTTTTGGAAGGCACTGAATGATGATGTCGTAGGGGAAGGGTGGGGTGGTTTGTTTGTTTGTTTTGCGCCTGTTTGGTGGCATCATTGCGGCAGTTGTGTGCGTTTGCCTCTCATGTGGTACTTTCTTACTTTCTTTGTTTCTTACTCTGTCGGTACGTGTCTCTTTCGCTGTGTGTGCGTGAGTTACCCATGCGTGCTGTGAAGGTTGCAAGCATGAAACACGTTGTTATTTTTGTGGCAGTCGCTTTGATGTTTGCTGCTGCTTTCGTCGCCAGTGCCCGCACTGAAGAGGAGTGCCATCAACTTGGGTTCAACCGGGCCGAAGTGAAGTGTCACCACTGCCCGTCGCTGCTGGAGCACACTGGAAGCGCGGAACTGGAGCAGGAATGTCTCTCGTGCTGCGCCGCTGACGATCAGATGCCGCGTCGCACCTACGCCCGCGCCCGCATCGAGCAGATGGGTATCTCGTACCTCATTGAAGAAACGCGCGGTGAGCTTGGCATGTTTTACAAGAGATTCAAGGATAAGTTTGGCAACCGCGTGCGGTTTGTTGAGGCTCGCTTGTTCTACGGGCCGCGTCTTGTACTAGAGGATGACAACGGCGGGGAGGAGCTGGAGATGAACATCATGGGCTGGACGAAGGACACCCTGCACGACTACCTGGTGCAGGCCCTGGGCATGGCGCCGCGGAAGGAGGAGCCATAATGTGTGAGTGGGCGCCCACCCACACAAATGCACCTCCGCTGCATCTGTTCGCGTTTGTTCTCATCTTGTTTCACGGATGCCCTCTCCTCAATATGTGTGTGTCTGTGTGTGTGTGCTGCTGATGCTGCTGATACTGCTTATGGGGCTGTCATTCCCTTTGTTCTCCTCTCCCCTACTTGCTGGAAAGACGCTCTCCTGGTTTTGAGACCATTTGCTTGTTAGGGCATAGGAAATACAGCTGGACCCCCATCGCCTCCCTCTGCAGCACGCGTGAAAGTCACGGACATACCACCAAGCCAACACACAGAGCTGTAATATACATAACATATATATATATATATATATATACTCCTACAGTGGAGCGGGACTGGGAGAACTTGGCGTGAGGGAAGCAAATAAAGGTGTGTTGTTTGTTTGTTTGTTTGTTGTTTTTTGTTTTTTCGTCTTTCTAAATAATATAAGCAATAAACCAAACGGAAGGCATCAAGCTACGCGCACACCTACATATATATAACCTGCAACGATGATGCGGCGTGCCCTCCGCCAGGAGCTTCACGCTCTTTTTTTGAGCAGTTCTTTTCGGTCGTACACCGACGCCAAGACAATTCGTACGCCAACCCAATTCGATCAGCTGCTTGACGCGCAGAACGAGGCGTACGTGAATGGGCTGTTGCAGCAGTACAAGAGGGACCCCACGCTGGTGGCGCAAAGCTGGATTCCGGTGCTGGAGAACCTGGAGAATGCGCCCCTCGAGATGCCGCTTGTCTCTAGCTTCCATCGTCCCAATCCGGCGCTGACGCTAACAGAGCGAGAACGGATTAAAAACATGAGCCTCTCATGGATGATTCGATCATTTGAAAGAAAAGGGCATTACGTCGCCAACGTAAACCCGCTTCAAGGCGTGGAAGGAGGGCCCTCGTATCCTATTGACCCATCCTCCCTGGACCCGTCAAGTTTTGGTTTTACGGAGGCGGATCTTGAGGAAGTTTTCTACGTCGCGTTGAGCCGCAACTTGGAGGCGACCTTTGTGAGCAGCGATAGAGGGCACAGGCTAAAAAGCATTGTGGAGCATCTGCGACGCATGTACTGCGGCAGCATTGGCTTTGAATTTATTCCCACCGGAACACTTGATGTGGAAGACTGGTTTCGTCAGGAGAGCCTGAACACGCTGATCCCGCTGGAGCGGCACGATCGTCTGAACATCTTCGAGGACGTTGTACACAGCTGCGGGTTTGAGCAGTTTTTGCATCTGAAGTACGGCACCCAGCAGCGCTTTGGCATTGATGGTGCTGAGGCACTGATTCCAGCGATGCGGGCGATGATTCAGACAGCCTACAACAACGGCGTCAGATCCTGTACGCTCGGCATGGCGCACCGCGGCCGCCTCAACGTGCTGTCGAATGTACTGCAGAAGCCGCTGACGGCCATCTTCTGTGAGTTTGAGGGAAAGGTACCGAAGGATAAGGCACCCAGCATTGGCGATGTGAAGTACCACTTGGGGCTTCGCAAGCGTGTTAAGCTGCGCAACGGTGGATTTATGGATCTTGATCTTTTGCCCAATCCCTCCCATCTGGAGGCGGTGAATCCGCTTGTCATTGGCAAGGCCCGTGCCCGGCAGTTCTACGAAAAAGACACGGACTACACGGCGGTGCTCCCTATCCTCATCCATGGGGATGCCTCCATCATGGGCCAGGGATGCTGCTACGAGACGGTGGGCCTTTCAAGTCTGGAAAACTACAATGTCGGCGGCACAATCCACATTATTGTGAATAACCAAATTGGTTTCACAGCCATCCCCGAGCAAAGCCGCAGTAGTATTTACTGTAGCGATTTATCCAAGGTGACTAATACCCCTGTTTTACATGTCAATGGCGACAATGTGGAGGCGTGCGTCCGCGCAGGTCGCATTGCGGCTCTTTTCCGCCAGAGTTTTCACAGGGATATTATTATTGATCTGGTCTGCTACCGCCGCAATGGCCACAATGAGGCCGATTTTCCTGATTTCACGCAACCGCAGCTGTACAAATACATCCGTAAGCATCCCATTTTGGTGGATATATATGCCAAGCAACTCGTTTCAGAGGGTGTTCTTACAGAGGATACCGTAAAGTTTAAAAAGAATGAATACAATTCACAACTGCGTCAGGCGATGGATTCCGCGCAAAGTTCACAGGACTTTGTTACAATCTTGCCGCACTTTCGACTGGCCTCAGAGAATCAGGCAGAGATGCTGGAATTGCAGGAGGATGAAGAGGAAGACCTTCCAATGGCGGTTGAAACAGGCGTGGAGATGGATACGCTTCACAAGGTTGGTATTCACATTACCACGGTCCCAGCCGCCGTCAGGAGGACGCACCCCGTGCTGCACCGCACGTATGCCTCTCGAAAGAAGGCAATTGAATCCGGTGACGGTGTGGAGTGGTGCTTGGGGGAACTGTTGGCGTTTGGAACGTTGGCGCTTGAAGGCGTAGGTGTGCGTCTCTCAGGTGAAGACGTGGAACGCGGTACTTTTACGCAACGGCATGCGGTGGTCACGGACCAGCAGACAAACTTAAAGTACACCCCTGTGGCCACCATATCGGAAAAGCAAGCGCCAGTGACGATTTGTAACAGCAGCCTGTCCGAGTTGGGGGTCTGTGGGTTTGAATGCGGATATAACATAGAGGATCCATCCAACCTATGCATGTGGGAGGCCCAGTTTGGTGACTTTGCCAATGGGGCTCAGGTGATTATTGATCAATTCATCTCCTGTGGGGAGGAAAAGTGGGACATGAAATCCAGTATTGTATTGTCGCTTCCACACGGTTATTCTGGCGCTGGGGCAGAGCACAGCTCTGCCCGCATTGAGCGTTACCTGCAGCTGTGCAGTGACACAGACGTGGTTCCTGCCAACTTCCGTCAGGCTTCTCCTGCGCGTATGATGGAAGCACGCATTCAAAAGTACAACTGGCAAGTCTGCTACCCCAGCACGCCCGCCAACTACTTCCACATGCTCCGCCGCCAGGTGGTACGGGAGGGTGTGAAGCCTCTCGTCTTTTTCTTCTCCAAGGCCCGACTGCGTCCCCCGAATGTGTCCTCGCTGAAGGAGATGGAAAAGGGGACGTCCTTCTTGCCGGTTATTGACACCGCCGAGAGGAGCGACGTTGTGCCACGCAAGGTACTCTTCTGCTCAGGTCAGATTGAGAGCATTGTGCATGATCGTCGCCAAAAGCTTCGTGAAGCCACCCCCGGCGTACACGAGGACGTGGTGCTGGTGAAGGTGGAGCAACTTTCCCCCTTCCCATGGGAGCAGGTCGCCGATGTCTTGGAAAAGTACCACCGCCGCAATCCAAACGTTGAGTTTGCGTGGCTGCAGGAGGAACCCAAAAACATGGGGGCATGGGCTTACGTACGCCTACGCTTCCAGAGTCTCATGCGCCACCTCGGTCTCACGACACCTGAGAGTTTCTTGAAGTACATTGGACGACCGGCGGCGGCGGCACCATCTACGGGTTACGGCGCCGTTCATGTGGAGGAGGAGAAGGAACTCGTTGCCCAAGCATTGGCGTAGTGCCACTAAACCAAAGAAGGAGGGTGCTACAGGTGTGTGTGTGGTGGATATATATATATATAATATATGTCTGCGATTTTTATTTCTGTGTTTTTGTTGGCGCTTTTTTTTTTTAACAGGTTGAAAGAAGGAAGAGGGAGAAAAAAAAAAAAAAAGCAATGGAAGTGAAATGAGATGCAACCATTTCTATTCCGAGAGACAACGGAAAGAAGGAGCTAAACCAACAACAACAGCAGGAAGAAAAAATCACAAAA